ATGTAACGTTAATCTTTCCGGGAAATGTGACGTGTTTGTTCGAGAACATTCTAAAATACTCTGGATTCCTTCGCAAGCGCTCCAGATCTTCCTATATAAGCAAAAGAATTGCGTTTCAGTGCCGTTCCAATAAATAGTTCGCGTTGTTATAAATTGTGTATTTGTGAGTGATAAATAATATTTTACTGTTATAAATTTATTGTTAATTAATTGTAAATAACTAAACGACAGAATGAAATTTACGTTATTGCAGTATTGATAAAGAAAATGTAATAATCATTATTGATGCAAGAAAAATCTGAAAGGCACTATGGGGATGTTTTGGACCTCAATTTGATGTACCTATTATACATACGATAATGCTAATTAATAATAATAATAATAATAATAAATGTCTTTATTGTCAACCGAACAAACAGCAAATAAATAACATTTCTTTGTTGATACATTTATGAGTGACAATAGGTGCAAGTTCAGGGACAGGCACAAGCGCCGCTCCTGGTCTTCCACTTGGACCAAAATCAGCAACAGGAAGGAAGAAAATAAAATTTACAATATAAATAGAAGAAAGAAAGAGGAAAGAAATAAAATCTACGATATAATTAGGATGGTCCACGAAACGTCCAGATTGCCAACAGTTGATGCGAGATAGTGATAGTTAATGTGGCTTATTGAGATTGTAGTAGGTACTGTTTACTAGCAGATTTGAAAAGAGGTAAGGAGGAGATGTTCTTGATGTTATCTGGTAAAGAATTCCATAACTTACAAACATTATAAGAAAAAGACCTCTCAAACAGTGATGTTATGTGCCTAGGAGGCCTAAGATAAAACTTTTTTCTTACATTCAGATTATATAGGTACATCTGTGCGGTATATGTTAAGCGTTCCGCCAAATATGGAGGGGTTTTGTATTTAATCACCTTAAAATAAAGTGAGAGTGCATGATGTACCCTTCGATTGGACAGATTTAACCACTTAACACCGCTTCAATAAATGTGAGACTTTATTGTACTTGCGAATTCCGTATATAAAACGAAGGCATTGGTTTTGAATTTTTTGTACGCTAAGCTTATCATAAGAATCGAGACAGGGACCATAGACGACATCGCAGAAATTAAAGTTTGAAAGTACTAATGATTCGCACAGTGTAATCTTTAATGCACGGCTAAGTATACACGAATATATTTGTTTTAAGACTAAAAACGACTTACTAATAATTTTAGAGACATGTGATTTAAAACGCAATTTGGTATCTAATACAACTCCCAAATTTTTTGCACAATTAACAGAATTTAAGTCCACTCCATTTAAACTTATTTTCAGATTATCACTCAAGCATTCAAAATCTTTATTTTTACTAAATATTAATAAATGAGATTTACTAGGGTTTAGTTTTAAGCAGTGATCTACAGCTTGTCCTGAAACGAATTCCAATGCCCTATTGATAACATTAATTGAGGAATTTACATTTGCGACATCAAAAGCGTAATAAATTTGTGTATCGTCAGCATATAGATGCGTACTGACCTCCTGGAGTGCACCAAGGTACTGACTAGTGTATATAGTAAACAATAATGGCCTTAGAACTGAACCCTGAGGTACACCCCTGGACAACACAAGTTCATCTGACACGACATTCTACAAAAAATATATAACCTACTAAGGGTCCGTGGTTCGAATCAGAAAAAATCATGTATCCGAGAATAAATTGCAAAAGAACAGGATCAAAGTGAAAGGGTCCAATAGGATCTCAAGTACGCTTCCTGTTTAAATGAATTATAACGTATATAAGATTTAGCCGAATATTTTCATTCATAAAGTATGCAACAGAGCAAACTATTGCATCCTGTCTCTGTTGTGGTGGTGAGTGCTTTGTAAGGCAGGACATCATTCTTTTGACGTCGTTTACGATTCCGGTGAACAGTATTTAATTTTCTGCAACACGATGTTTTTTTTGCAAGAACAACTCCAAAGGCATCACCGTATACAGGGTGGTGACTTGCGTAACGCGTCATAGGGATTTCAATGTAATATTCATAACATGCAATTATTGGCTCCCCAAATTATTTTGGAGCAAAAATGTATTAAGGTTTTTTGTAGAAAAACATTTTTTACGTCAATCAACCGTATTAGTTTTCAATTTTTTGCATAATAAACGGAAAATTGGAAAAATAAACCCCGCATCTTTTTCAATAATCTGTGATGCCATGGAATTTTATAATACAAAAACTACGCCAATATCCGTCATGCCATGGAATGCCTGCTATAAAACAAATCAAATTCTATCAAAAAGTATTATATTTAGAACAGCGAATTCAACATAAAGAAAGACCAAATTACTAAAAACGGTTTCCTAATATAACAATTAGAATAAATGTTCGAATAAGTCACCATTAACTGCAATACAGTAACCATGTCGATCATAAAAGCCATTTCGAACTGCTGCTAATTGATAACGGGATATCTTTTTGTTTTAGAAAATTCCATGGCATCGCAGATTATTGAAAAAGATGCGGGTTTTATTTTCCCAATTTTCCGTCTTTATTATGCAAAAAATTTAAAACTATAATACGGTTGATGGACGTAAAAAATTTTTTCTACAAAAAACTAATACATTTTTGCTCTAAAATAATTTGGGGAGCCAATAATCGCATGTTATGAATTTTACATTGAAATCCCTATGCGCAAGTCACCACCCTGTATACCTACTAATACGAAAATAATGGTGCGAAAATCATCTATGCGAAAACTATTATTTGCATACGCTTTCTTTGGATGCGATACTACTAAAATTATTCGGAATTTGCAAAGAAGTAGCAGTGAAGTTATAGCAACAAAACTATTTCAAAAAACAAGCAGAGGGATTCCGGAACCAAAAAGCTGCACACAACATCAAGTCAGTCGGAGAAAAGGAGCAACTTATAAGGAAAACCAACCAGTGGCGTAAATTTTAGAGACCCGTCTTCAAAAATATTAGGTGACCCTATCCGCTTAATTTAACCCCTTGGATTTCTAATCACAACCATCTCACAATTAATATAAATGAAAGTTCACTAGAAATACACCCCAGCCCAGAGGATTCGGATTCTTTAACAAAGATAGCACCTTCATATCGATCTTCTGACGTTAGTCGACTCTGAACTTTTAAAAAAATTTGATGGTTATGGCAAGCTATAGGAATTGCTTGTGAAGGCTTCAGGAATTGATTAAGTTTCACCAATTTATTTTTTCGCTTTTGCTTTTCTTGTTGGGGATGTTCTTGCCGCAAGCTCGGCGTGCGCAAAATGTCCAGGAGTTAGTGGACGTTATAGACGAATAATTCCGGGTTCAGTGCCATGCGTTAATCGGGACCGGGGCATACGGTACCTACACATAAACAATGTAATAGTGTATCGTACATTAAAGTAATCTTAATAAAGTAGTTAATTACCCATTCTTATTTTGTAAAATATAGGGGGATTTAAATTCTGCAGCAAAATTAACAGTGAGGGAATGTGTTCGTTACACCAGATTTATACAATTTCTTATGTGTTTTAAAGTTTATTAAAGAGAAACAAAAAGCGAGTTCATTATTTTGAACTTTCTGTCCGTCCGTACGTCCGTCTACCCGTCCATCTGTGTACGTGATGCTTCGAGATCGCTTTCGCATTTTCCAATTCTGTTTTCAGTAATAGATAGACAATAGCCAAGAACTAACTGATTAAATTTTGGTTAATACTCGTCAACTGGAAGTGATCTTGTCGCTCGTTGTCTATATTGGTGCAGTTTATTATTTCGCAATATAATTACACACGTTGCGCCTAAACCACTGCTCCAACAAAAAAATGTGTTTATAACATTTTTGTAGGGATTTTGATGCTCTGTCATTTTGCATAGCATATTTTTTTCCTAAAAGCAACTATGTATTAGTTATGAGCCAAAAACCATGTATTTCCAGATTGTCACTTCCGGTTAAGGCATTTCCGGGAGTCAAACATTGGTGAACTTAATTCGATCGTTTTCATTCAGAAACCGCTTAGATCAATTCTTTTGCAATTTGTAATTTGTTCACGGTCAAATTAACTGTCGGATAGATTTATCGGTAACGTGAAAAAGCAGGTCATTTCAGACGATTAAACCGACATTTGACAGACGTCATCTGTTCAATTGACACATTTAGGTTGCAAAATATATACTTTATATATGTAATGTTAACTTTCAGTGTATTGATCATAAAGCGAATTTCACTGGAAGCAGACACGGAAAAAATAAAATTATAAATGATCGCATTACCAGATTAACTGTCCTGCTTTAATGCTCAAATTCCATCTTTTTTTCACGATCTTTTTTAAATTCTTGTTGGACGTTCGTCGTCGAACGTAACGTTATCTTAATTACCACCGTAATTCAAAAGTGCGATTGACACAGCTTATACTCATCTGCACCTAATTCGCGTAGGCAGGCATCTAAGATACGCACTGGAGATAAATTATAATTTAAAAAAACTAGACTGTACTAACAGGTATACGATGGCATGGATAATCGTGAAAACACGTCGCGTCTTTAATCTAAAAGCAATTTGTTTGTAAATACTTTGAAGAAAAACTACCTTCAGAAATTAAAGTAAATACTATGTAGTGATACTTAATTCTTTTTTCAACACAGCTCACAGGCACTTACCTTTTTAACACTAAGTCGTTGTACGCAGCCTTTTCACTTTTTTGAGTGTTACTCAGATAAAGAAATTAATGCAATGAGATTAAGTCATAAGATAGTCCGGCAATTTATAATACTAACCTGAACACGCTGCTTAAATTTAAGATTGATCCACCCATTTGATGTTCTTTTAATATGTGCCGTTTGCGAGTACAACCTGAATTCACGGTAAGATGAGTAAATGACCTAAAATTTACACCGAGCACGTCTTTGCGCAAAAAAAAACATCCGAGTTCCTTACGGTATAATGAAATTTATTTATTAATAGGATTCGGCTACCTTTTATATTTACAAAATGAGGTAGCGTAAACGTAAAATAAGGTCACCATTTTCGTGTTTTTAAAATAATTTCGAAAAACTTACATTTATTTCCACAATACATTGAACATTTTTTTTGGGTCATGAAATGAATAATGTAAATACGACTGATTATAGCATCGAATCGGGATACAAAAACATTATCAATGAATGTGCACCATTTTGAATTGATTTAAAATTATATAAAAACTTGTTTGGCGGTCGAGGAAGACAATAATTTTCGTTTGATTCTCCATCTCCGTTTATTATTGGACCGACCACATATCTACTGCTTTTTTTCTCGCTTTGTGTAGAGTTTGAAAGGAAGACAATGCAAAAACGACCTGCACTAGACATTGCTTTAACAAGTTATAAATATAAGAAAGTGCGTTTTTTTAATATGTGCTCCTTATTTATTAAGTCTATTTGTTATAGGAACAATGTAACAGTAATTTAACAAAAATCAGTCGGGGGACCAAGCTCTTGAAAATAATCCGAATGATTTTTGTTTACCAATAAACGTACATAATCTACACAAACAAAAATTGGGCACCGCGCGCTTTAATGAGCGGAGAATTAAAATTTAACACTTTTTTGCACTTTAAAAATAGGAAACGTGCCCTTAACCATCGCCATATTTACGTTTTAAAATAAGTACACATTATCTCTTACAATTTAAAATAATTACCCCTATTAGTCTATGTTGCTATAATCTACAAAACAGTAAAATTCTCGTAAATAGCGGATATTTAAATGATCTAATAAATAAATTTTAATCACATGTGCCTCTTAATTAATTAATTAAATAAATAACATAGGAATATTTTTTATTGGCTTCACGTTTGTGTGTTTTTAATATATAAATTGGACAATCTTTTACATTTACATCTATATTTAGTTTATATAACTAAGTCTCTGAGAATACTTTACAATTGTGGTGTCAATTTCATACCTTCAAATGTCCAACAATATTTTATCACTTCTAATCAAGAACAATCGAGGGAGGATGAGGGACTGCCCGACGGAAGCATGAAAGGCGGACTTTGTGGTGGTAGCGACTGTAGACTGCTCGTCATCGGACCGGGGCCGTGAGTGTAGAGCTCCATGTCGCTCAAGCCGTCGGCGCCGGATTTTTCGCCGGATTTGCCTTCCTGTTTGAGCATCATTCGCCGCCATTTCGCGCGTGCGTTTTGAAACCATACCTGAAAAAAAAATTGTCGTTTCAATAAAATGTTTTGTGTTTTGGTATATCTAAATTATTTTTGTATGTGACCGACATGTAACATATTTAAGTCTCCTATAGAGATAAAGAAACCTACAGCAACGTATACTAAAATGGTACCAGAGAGCAGGGTTTTTGTTTTAACATTTTGTTTCATATTATATGTATTTTGTTTCGTACTGTACCTATATATTAAAATTTAGTTAGGTTGGTAATGATTAGGCAGCCCCAACCTTAAATAAAGTTAGCTTGTACATTGGAAACTGGTCGCAAATTACAGCGCTACGATGTTGCGGTAGGGAGTGTCAACTTTTTTGGTGGTTCTACGTGATTTGGTATTGTTATAGATAAATATAAAAGTATTTAGTAATATCACATATCTTAATATTAAATAACTTTGGTTTAATTTACTTATTTGTTTGTTCAGATTAGGTATGTGATACAGATATTAGCTACCGTTGATTTGATAAAATCAGTTCGAAGTTCTTATCTACGTTATTCGTTTTACTCCAAAGAATCGGCTCATATCATACAGATTGTTATAAGGACCATCGTAGTCGAAGCAAAATTTTGCTTTTGCTAGTGTAAAGTCATTCGAATTATTGATTCTTTTTGAGTATTAATTGCAGGTCTCCCTCCGTGTCAAACGTTAGACATCGCTATTTTGCAATATTTTATGTGCAGCGCGATTCACTACCTCTTTTATTTGTTTGTTTGTGTTGTAATCTGTTACAGATCTGCAGGACGAGCCCTTCTGTATTCAGACGGCCGCTACGACCAGAGTTCAAAGGTAATTTTTGTATTTCGACGACTACATAATTAACGTTTGATTATACAGGGTGTTACACGACCGTTCGAAAAAAAAAAATCGGGTTGTAGAGGGCATCAAAACAAGCACTTTTTCCAAATAAACCGAGGGTCCAACGTGTTTCGTTTGGGAGCCACCCCCCAAAGAGTGTTGAAATCTGCATTTCTTCTTAAATTTTTTTCTCAGCAACCATAAGAGTTACAAAGTCGGGTGGCATGTCTTTGAATAGGTTTTTGGGTATGCTCTTTCCGATTTTGCAATTTTTTTTTCAAAATTCCTACCCCTAAAGGGCGCACCCCTAAACTAGGGTGCAAAAAAAATTCTGATTTCGACGAAATTTGGTATCTGGGGTTTTTTTAACATGAAAATCACGAATCTGAAATTAGTTTTTGAAAATTCGAAAAAAAAAGTTTCACTGCAATTCTTGGCGGGACAACGAAAATAGAGATAATTCCACGAAATTTGTTGTGTACATACTAAACGAGTTAAGGAACAAAACTGTCGAACAGTTTTTTAAAATAACTTTTCAAACAAAAGTTATACTCATTTGAATGTTGGTCCTTCGGGTCGCGAAGTGCCCCAAGCCTACTAGTAAGCCATAATTTCGCATGTGTTGGTTGACAATGTCGCAAAAACAAAAGATTAACGGTTTGAGTCGATATTTTGTTATTTGGAATTAATTCGGTCATTAAATGATAAAAAAATTCGATGTATCGATTAAAACACCTACCAAGGTATCTTAAAGCGCTGATCGATTATTTATTATCTAAATAAGGTAGGGGAAAAAGTCAAATCTCTTTCCGTATGATACTTTTTCACTATGATCAAAAATTTTCATAATCTTAGGTTGAAAAATAACTTCCAAAAGAACACGCTCCTTTTAAGGACAAATTTCCCCTAACATTTAAATGAGTATAACTTTTGTTTGAAAAGTTATTTTAAAAAACTGTTCGACAGTTTATGCCTTTTAGAACAAAAACCATATGAAAACGAAAGTGAATTGTTTCGAATCCATCAGTGTAGCAAAAATTGATTGGAAATATTGGCATTTGGCTCCCCAATGTTTATGATGCTGCGTGAGTAAGATCAAAACGAGCAAAGTTTTTATGAAAAAAGCCAATTGTGCTGTAGTTGCTGGAGGAAGCGCCAACAGAGAAGAAAAGTTTAACACAATTCGTTCTCCTCGATGGGAGGAAGAGCTCCTTTCCCATGGTAATCGCGCTTAAATAGTGCCAAAAAAGGTGGTGGCATAAATTATTGTCTGAAATACGCACCAACGGTAGCACAAAAAATTATAAAGTTGAAATGTGCCCACTATATCCATACTGAATAGAATTTGCCCAAGAAAACCAGAACTAAAGATATAATTCTCGTCTACGGAAAAATGTTTAATGGTAAATCTTTGACCGGCGCTCAATGAACGCATCTTCTTCGTAGATTTACCTTTTACATTACAATGAGTTGATTTCATTAATCGGGTGACTAAAATGTTTACAAAAGCGGCTGCCTTACTCCTAATATGGTTACCACTATTAATAACAATAAAACGAACGTGGTAATAATAGCATTACAAGAACCGGATGGTGAGGGTCCGTGGAGGAATCTTAAACTACCCATTATCATTTGTTAGCGCTACCACTTTCAACATGGCCGATGCAAAAACCGCTTCGAAATGAATTAGCAAAATCACGAACGATCCAGTTTTTGTACAGCCGCATTTCGTATAGTTTACTACACTCTCTGAATTCGCAATTTATATCGCGTCCATTGTATTCTTGTCGGCGATTGAATTATTCCGATGCTGTCAAACTTTCCTCGGCGGTGGCACGTCATCATCTCCAATCGGTTCGCAATGTTTAAGAGTTTGATGATTTAGTTGTGGCTAACCCAACACTTCCTTTTGAAAAATTAATCGTTTTAATATTTGACCGCAGTTTCCTATCGATAAAGCCGATCCTAGATGAATTTTATTACCCACTTGCTCTCTAGCAACTACGTTTTATAAACATTTATATTCCAGTTACTACAGGTCGGTCCGCATTAATTCGTCGGTTAGGGTAGATCAGAAAATAATTCTGATAGAACAAGAGAGGAGTCTTGGAAAAAATTGACAAGGAGGTTCCATGAAGAGAAACAAAGAAGGAGCATACCGGCTCGGTCTCTCGGGGTAGCAGCATAAATAAGTACCGAAAGGTTTTGATAAGGGAATTCACAAATTTGGTTGGTAACAACCCGCAGACGAAGTTCTGATGTAAAAAAATATTCAATCACCCTTTTCTCCACAAAAATGCAATCTATATTATCTTAGAAGCAATAATACAAGAATTAGAAAATCTAAGGAAACTACAGAAACATAAAGGGATATTAGAGTTAACCACACAAACTACAAAAGCTGCATGTACTCAAAAAGCTGAAGAAACTAGGACTAGGAAATGATTTAGACTTGAGAAACTGCAGGACCTACATAAACTAGTTACCAGAAGGCCCAAAAAACTAGAGCTATTGTACAAAAACCACGGAAACTTGAGAACCTGCAGGTACTGTGGTAAGACTTTGGGAACTAGAGAAAAGAATCTAAACAAAGTAGATAACTTTAAGGAAACTATAAATAGAACGACAGCCGTTACAGAAAGCACAGAAACTAGATAAACTATAAAATCGGCAGCAACTTGTAACGTCCCGTTATTTTTTTGAATGTACCTCGTACCCTTAGTTTGAGTAACTGACTGAACGCGCTTTTAGTATGTTGAGTGTAGTTGTTACAAAATTGTTTACTATTGTCAATGAAATGACAGGTACAAGCAAAAATAAGAAAATCTCTTGTTAAAAATCCAAAGGCGTCAAGCTAAAATTGCCTAATTTTTATATCTAAACGTATTTACGTGAATGGGAACTGATATATCTTTTCCAGGTAAGGTTATTTTCATAGGATTCCTTATTTGGTTTATACGTTTCGCTTTCGGTTATGCCATATGTTTTAATTTAGTTACCTATCTTTCTTCTATCTATATCGCAATCCGAAACCCATTTATTATTGAGGTACGTAAGTTTGAATTAATTGGATTTGATATCGGTATTGTAGTTTTTGGATGTATTCTTAATGTAAACCCTATAGATGAAGTACCTTCTCTTATAAAATGCTACAACGAGTTCACCAACATATGATTCATATGTTTTGGTTAGCTGGAACTCATCTAACACATGGTATTTAAGATGAGACGTTCTGCAATGCTGAAATATCGGAGCAGTTGTTTGTGCCGTTAATCTTAATTTAGTTATTTAATATCTTTCTGTGCTGAAAATTTGCATTTAGTTAAGTGTAACTTTGCCCAGAATTGCCAGGTTATTTACTGTTATATACAATTAAATAGTATTTGTGTATATGTACTGTTCTTTGCTAAGAGTGTCTGAGGATTCACAACGCTTGTATTTTTATTTTAGTTTTAGTTTATATTTTTTATTTACTTTTTGGCGTGACTTGCGCACGCCTGACACCCAAAATTATAGGAGATTTGTCTGATCCCAGTGACTGTTTCACTGGAAGACCCGTGTCCCCTGGCTAGCCGTGGCCAATTCCTTTTTCCTTCTCAAGGTCCGCTGCAAAATAAAAACTACAAACCACTAGACGAACTACAAAAAAAGGAAAGCTACAGAGACTACAAAAGCCTCGAGAACTAAGGGCATTGGAGCAGCTAGGCAAAACTAGAGAAGTCAACTAACAAAAAAGGAACTAATAACTGTAATAATCCAAAATATTAGACAATCTAAAGGAACTACAGAACTATAAAAACTAATACAGGAACCACGTGCTCTTCAGAAACTATAGATAGTGATAGTTCACCTAAAAGAATTACCAGAGAAACTGAAGGAACTGGAGAGATTAGCCAAATGGAAGGAACTTGAGAACTATATGATCTGAATTTAGCGTTAAATTCGTGGCATAATGTGTAACGGGAGCCTGATAACATTTTTTCGATTTTTAAATATATTTGAGTTCTAGCATGTCTAAATAGAATTTCATATGTACCGCCTTATACGAATATTAATCATGAGTAGGTATATAGGCGACATCCAGGCACGTTTGGAAAGGTCGCGCGATAACCGAACCGTTACGCCATCTATATATTTTCTCTGTAAATCTTTTTATTTTAGATGTAGTTAGTTAAGTGTTA